AATGCACTGTCCCCCCTCTGCTGCTCGGGCATGTCTGAAGCCCCTCACCAGGTTATGGTCTCTGTGGAGCCCCCCAGTGCCCTCACCCAGCACAGCACTCTGGACGTCAATGACTACGCCATGATAAACACTTGTAATAGGAAGAAAAAGTCTCGCCTGGCTTTTTAGCAGCACGTCTGTGGCGTGCTGGGCTGCACAGAAGCTGTTTTTGCACAGGTGGGTCACTCAGGGTTCTGTCTCCTCTCCTAGTGTGATGCCAGGTCTGCGTCTGGTGTAGCCGCGTGGGTTGTCTCAATTGAAGGCACAGATGGCACTCATCCTCCAGGTCATGAATGACCGCCAGGGGTGGCCAGGGCCAGGCATCAGTGTGGCCAGCGGGGCGGGCACCCCCTTGCCCTCTTGACCATCTCCATCAGGACACACCCACACTGGGTTTGTTGTCCATTGTTCTGACGTGACCAGCTTCTGGCAGTAGATGTGGCGAGTGCCGACACTCCTGCTGGGGCAGACAGTGTGAGTCCTCGATTGTTACATGTCCCCAGAGCCGGTGGTATGACAGATGCTCTGCCAGTGGTGACAACGGGCGTGCAGGGCAGTGTCAGCAAGCAGACAGGGTCCTGGGCAGGCGAGAGTGCTCATGTCCCTTTGGTGAGAGTCCCGGTGGACAGATGGGTGTCAGTGGGGAAGGGGGCGAGCGGCACTGGAGAGAACGTGAGGTTGTGCTGGCCCCCCTTTCCTGCGAGGCCAGAGGAAGGACTGACGGAAGGAACCCTTCCGCAGAAAGACCTCTTGCTGTGGTCACTGTCTCTCTACCCCACTCAATGTTGCTTTGACGGCTGCAGCCTTTCAAGGTGAAATCCAGGTCAGCGTGAGAGCAGTTCAGGGACAGAGCACAAGTTAGGAGTTTTGTAATGAATGCAAATCTCCCCCACATCAACTGTCTGTCTCACTGTCTCTTCTTTTCTAGTGAAAGCCTAAACTTCAAGTCCACGTAACAGCCTAGGTGGGAAGACATGTTCTTGAGGTCCAGAATTTTGACGTCCAGTAGTTGAACCTGTCAGGGATGAGGGATGAGACAGGGCCGGGCCTGAGGCCTCATTCAGACACTAGCACGGTCAGGCTGGAGGCTGGAGTGAGGTGCAGTGCCCTGAGCGAGCTCATGCGCTGGTCAGAGTTGACATCAGCCTGGGGCAGGGTCCCCCTCCTCCTGGAACAGCTCGGGCAGCAGTGATGGACATGGGGCGAGTCCCCTGCACGAGTCTGTGAGAGCTCAGTCTCGCCCCGATCACACTGCAGACAGGGTTCCTTCTGCTGTTTGCTGGGGCCCCTCCGTGGTTCAGTCACGCATCGCTGCAGGATGGAGCCAAGCCCAGCTCCTGCTCTGGCCCAGGGGCGCTCAGCTAGCCTCGCATCTGTGCAGGAGCTTGGTGTTAACCTGTGAGCGGTTATCCCTGAGCCTTGCTGGTCCAGCACCACACCCTCCACTCTGTCCCGGCCCAGGCTCCCTGTGGCTCTTCATGTCCATGGCTCATAGGATGGGCAAGCCACCCAACCACGGGGCGTGGCTCCCCCGGGCTCAGAGGGTTGGCAGCCCACACCGTCACACAGAGTTTCCGTCCGTTTCTGTGAGTCCTTCCATCGTGTGTTCTCACTGTACCTCCCAGTTCTCTCAGGAGACACATCTTTGCCTTTCTCTGTAAGGGGTGCTTTTTTGCTTTTTGCTCTTTTCTCATGGATGAAGGACAATCTTACGAGGCATTTTCTAACGGGATCTGTAGCTTTTTCATTCGGGACCAACTCTGAGTGATTCCAGCACCCTGTTTCTGGTTTCATACTGACCAGGGAAGACATTTTTTTCTTTCTGAGTTCCGCCCTCCACCCTTGGCCCGGGTCCCCTCGCTGCCACTCGATGGCGGGGCTGGAGACCGAGAAGAAATTCTTAGTGGTAGATCCTCCTTGTTTTCCACATTTCAGGTGAGATGAGATCCCCAGCTGAGAGCCCGTGTTCCTTCCTCAGAGACTGAGGGTCATGCATGGAAGGACAGGAGAGAAGATAAGTAAATTCTGAAGGCAGAAGGAGGGCAGAGGAGCTGCTGGTCAGAGAGGCGGGCCCGGCAGTGTGCGCGTGGCCTGGATGGAGCCCCGCTTCCTGAAGCAGAGCGGTGGCTTTTTCTCATCCCCGTGTCGGCCGGCACAGGCCAAGGCAGAAACCCACAGCCGGGAGAGGAAAAGGCTGAGGTCGTTCCAGGACCGCAGAGTCCAGGGACATTTGCCCCTCATTTCCTTGTCCCGTTGGTTACACCAGGGTGCCCTCTCTGAAGTCACTCAGTCCTAAGGCCGCAGTCGGAGCTGCCTGGCGTCTCCAAAATGCTTGGCTGGGGTTTCTGACATCCTGAAATAGTGATGGCTCTGAGTGGACGCCGGCAGAGAGAAAGCTTGTCCAGAACCACCCTCCTTTTGTGGCTAAGAGTTTTGCTCCCTGGCCTGATCGTCTGGCCTTTGTAGGGTACCCAGCCTGGTCACTGGCCAGCTGCCTACCCCCCAGATAGCAGTGGCCGCTCATCATGGGGGCCAGGCCATGCAGCGGGGGCCCATGCTGAGCCAGCCCATCACGCTGGCCCCTTC